AATAATAATAATAATAATAATAATAATAATAATAATAATAATAATAAAAAAAAAATAAAAAGGGACATGGAAAGGCAAAGGATTAGATGGCTAGCACACAAAGACACACACAAAACACAATTGAAGGCCAAAGAAATAACGAAAAGAACTGACAATTGTTAGGAGCAGGAAAGTTGAAGAGAGGACAGAGGCTAAGTTTGGCTGCAAATGACCAAGCCTTAAGAACAAATGCATACAGGTGAAATGAGAAGAAGGCAACAGACAACAAGTACTGCCATTGCAGACTACTTGATTAGCAGCTGCTAGAAGATTACACAGACCGACTGCAAACAATGGCCTGACAAGGTAACCACAACAGGTGCATTGGAAGATCTGTGAGAAATTTACCTGCAAGGAAGAACTATGGGACCACAAAAATAGAGGAAATAAAAGAAAATGAAGTAGTTAAACTGCTCTGGGAGTTTGGGATGCAAATAGACAAGTACCTGACACACAACACACCAGACTTAACAATTGTTGAGAAGAAGGGCAAGAAAGTCAGGATAGTGGACATCGCAGCAGATACTGGACACGTAAATAGCAGAAGAGAAGAGAAAAAAACTGGAGAAAATCAGAAAATTTAAAGATATGTAACAGAAAATCAAATGAAATAATTGCGGTCATTAATCAGCAAATAGAAATACAACTGTGGCAAAAGAAAGCAAAGGTAGTGATCGATGCCTTGTGTGCAGTCCCAAAACACCTGGAGCGCTATTTGAACACCATTGACATTGACAAAATCCCCCTTAGTCAATTTGCAAAAGGCAGCATTATTCAGAACAGCTTACATCCCACAACAATACCTTTAACACCATAATATATATAATATACAATAATAATATAAAATATTTAATATATAATATCATATAAAATATATTATAACTGCCTATCCCAGATGCTTGGGAAGGACTAAATGAGTGGATAAAAATGCCAAATCCAGTCTAAATATCTGGCTGACTGTGGAACCAACAACAGCAGCATAATAATAGAAGAAGCGTGATATTTCCTTCCTGATTCCTTCTCGATACGAGAAATAATCATATTTACAGTTCCTTAATATTAGACTTTCCAACAATAGGTTTCCTGGTGCTTTGGGTTATACAGTTCAGAGAGTAATAACCACATCGCGTGTATTCTTTCTCACTTCCTATATTTTATTAAAAGCCCATCAACATATGTCTTAAAACCAACAGCTGCTGAGACAACATTAATGTTTTATTGAGAATCTAATTTAAATAATGTCAGGCATGAACAATCAGGTCCACCTGTGAAGGTTTCAATTTATTATTTTATTGCTCAAGCCCACATACAGGAATCTTCTCGGACTAACACTTTGCACCTGGGTAAAACTAGGTAAGATTGAACGGCAATCAAGGGAAATTGGACTTTGTCCTGTTGTGACTATGTAGTCACAGCTATTTCCCACTTGACTCCACTCCCTCTCAGTCTCTATCCAAATGCGAACCCTCCCGTATCTCCACCTCTTGATTCTGGGAGCATCACTAATGGACCACACGCCTGCTCTGTTGCCCCTTTGCTACTCGCCTGTCTGACATTTCTGTTTTTCATTCCATTTCAGTCCCAAACTCAGGTAGAAGAGGAAGAGGAGGGCGAGGATGATGAAACAGAGGAACTGGGTCACACAGAAACGTACGCCGATTATATCCCTTCTAAATGTGAGTGGGTCAAACCCCTGGCCGTGCTGTTTCTGCTTTATATATGTGTGTGTGTGTGTGTGTGTGTGTATATATATACAGAGGTGGGATTTAGCAGGTTCTGACTGGTTCTGGAGAACCGGTAGTGGAAATTTTGAATAGTTCGGAGAACCGGCAAATATCACCTTTGACTGGCCCTGCCCCCATCTATTCTCTGCCCCCCGAGTCCCAGATGATCGTCCGGGTCTTCTTTTATTTGGTTTTCTCTTTACATTGTATATGTGCTTAATGAACGTCATACTGCTGAGTCCATTCGTTTACATCGTGATACTTCTTACATTCCTAATTTCTACCTCTGATGTCCAACCATTGGTAAAACAAGTCCCAAGTCCGAAAATATTCTGTGTCTTTTTCTTCTATCTTCAGTGTTAATCTGTCCACTTCTTCACGGTCCATTTTTTTAAATTATATGTTCTTCCATGGATGTTGCTTCGCTTTTCCAATGTTGCACAAACACAATTCTTGCTGCTGTTAAAACATGTAATATCCAATGTACGTTCCTTTTATCCATATTTTTCTAGTATTATGCCTAACAAAAATAGTTCTGTCTTAAAATCCCAGGCGTTTTCTTATGTGGAAAGTCCAGTCTTCCCCAGCTTAGTGCTCCCAGATTTATTAGAATTCATTTCCCAGAATCCTCAAGCAGGAAAGTTCTGGCAATTTTAGGAAGGAAAATTTAATCTTTCCTACAGCAGGTCTTCCCAACCTTGGCCACTTTAGGAGAGACATGGACTTCCAGAATTCTCCAGCCAGCCGTGAAGTCCGTGTGTCTTAAAGTGGCCGAGGTTGGGAGAACCTCTTCTAGCAACCAATGGAAGGCAGGGGTAATGTGGTGTTGAACTTCCTGACACTGCAAATACTTGAAGCCTCAACTATGTGGGTGGTAGTGGGTGGGGCAGGTTGTGTGAGTAGGAAATCCCCTAGAACTCCTTACAACCAAATCACCATTTTCCTCTTGGTGTATCTGTAAACAGGATAGCCATAAGTGCTTCCTTGGTTTCAACATGGTAGTCGCATAACAAGGAACAATGAAACCAGTGACTGAGTCACAAGGAGAGGCTATATCTGCCTCGATTAAGATTCTTTACTTTGGACTCTGCATTGAGTCGAAGGTTGGACTTGACAGCTGCAGGAATTCCTTTCCATCTGTAGGATTTGGTGACACAGAGAAGTAGGTTTGTGGGGTCAACAAGAGGTTTCCATCTCATTCCATCCCACACAATTGCCTTTGAGTAGACTTGCACACTGGGCAAAGTCTACGTGTAGTTTGCATGAAAATTTGACCCTGGGGTATTGTGTGAAACTGGTCATTTGTGGCTTGTGAGATGTGGGTTATAGCAAAGGTGGACAACATAGGAAGGGTTGGTGGAAAGGAAGGCAGAATGGCTTTCAGTCCTTCTGTGGACATCGCTGGAAGTGGTGGGAATGAATTTTAGGGACCCAATTTTGGAGGGAGAATTAGATTAGGGTAACAGTACTAGCTTTTTGTAGCTAGTAGCAATACGCAATAGCGCTTAGACTTACATATCGCTTCACAGTGCTTTACAGCCCACGCTAAGCAGTTTACAGAGTCAGCCTCTTGTTCACCAAAAATCTGGGTTCTCATTTTACCAACCTCGGAAAGGTGGAAGGCCAAGTCAATCCTTGAGCCTGGTCAGGATTGAACTCCTGGCAGTCAACAGAGTTAGCCTGCAATACTGCATTCTAACCCCTGCGTCACCAGGACTCCTGATGAGCTAAACTGCTCGCTTCCTCATCTTTTACACACACATACACACACACATACACACACACAAACCATGACTTAATGTAATGCTTGAAGAAGGCTTTTGATTCAAGGAGTGGGGGGTTTGTTGGGATTTGTATTTGGGATTTTATTTCTGTAAGCCAAGGGTGTCAAACTTGCGTCGTCACCGTGTTGTCACATGACATATCGTGACTTTTTCTCCCTTTCGCTAAACTGGGCCTGGGCAGTGTGTGATGCATCTGGCCTGCGGGGTATGAGTTTGACAGCCCTGCTGTAAGCCACCTGTGGTCACTATGAATGAGTTCAGGCAGACGTATGAATTTTTCTAAATAAATGAAGGCTACTGCGTAACCGATTTGGTGATTAGTCTTTCCTCTTGTCAGGTGCCAAAAACCAAGGCAGACACTGTGATTTTTCCTAGCAGGTTTCTTCGTTGTTCCTCACCTGTAGACAGAATCTTGCCCCCCCCCGCCACCAACTAAAACATGCTAACTCCTCCTTGAAAAGGTATACACTGGGGGCTGTTAGGGAGGAGCTGTCCTCACCCTCTTTTCTCCCACACAATCTATCTGAAAGGAGTTGTTTCTTGCTCCTCCAGAATGCGTCCCCTCCCTCCTTGGGAATCCAGACTACTTTCCATCACACCTCCTTAAAAATTGTCCCAGCCTATCAAGGGTGATTTTCTCTATCTGGAAGGACGAGGGGATTCAGGAGGGCTAAAATCTTAGTGAGCTTTCCCTGTGCAAAGCAGCCACGGATGGATGAGGCGGAGAATACTGTTTAATCCCTGACTTCCTGATTTGGTAAACTCCTGCCTCCTCCCGTCTTAAATCTTTGTTTGTCTTCAGGGCACGACTGAAGAGGCTGTTGACCCTTGCAGCTAATGCCCTAGCTAGCACTTAGGGAGAAACCATTGGCGGCTCCTGGGCAGACTTCAAGAGTAAGGCAGTTAACAAACAGAGACTATCTCTGACTGGAAGGCAAGGGTGGCCAGAGATCAACTCAATACGGACAATGATCAGGCAACAGAATTTCATTTTTAACATGGGCCGGTGTGCTCGCAGTAAAAGAATGACAAAAAAATGACAATCAAGTATGAAGTAAAGTACCTGCTGTCTCCCACAGTACCAGTTCTGAAGAAAAATCCTTTAGGTATCATAGATACTGGAATAGTTTTCTTTAGGTATGAAATTAATTAGACAGCAGCTTGCTCATAACCTGTTCTGTTTTACCATTTCATTGGTTACATACTGGTGGAGGCAGTCCTTGACTTATGACCACAGCCCCAGAATTTCTCCTGCTGCTAAGCGAAACAGTTGTTATGTGAGTTCTGCCCTGTTTTACGACTAGTCTTGCCACAGTTGTGAAGCGAATCACTGCAGCGCTTAAGTTTGTAACCTCGTTGTTAAGTGAATCTGGCTTCCCCATCGACTTTGCTTCTCAAAAGTCGATTTTTAGACATCGTCCTTTACAAGTCAACAAATCCCCCGTTCCTCGCTGAATGAAAACCGGCCTAGGGCCCCCCAAAGTTCCCCCTTCAAATAGAGTTTTTAACCGAATTGTTGGCTTGTTTGGTCTAATATGCCCTTTGACCCTTTCAGAGAACTTCAGTTTTCTCCAGAGAAGCTGAGAAACCTTTTTGCTTCATCTTACAGCGAAAATTGGGAAGCACCACCCTGACCGAGTGGTAGAAACCAGCACGCTTTCCAGCGTCCCTCCTCCAGATATCACCTACGTCCTCTCTCTCCCCGAATCGATTGCCGAAAACGGGTTGCTCTCTGCTCTGCAGCTGGAAGCCATAATTTACGCCTGCCAGGTACGCGTGGAGTGGAGTGGCTTTGGGTGGGTCTGGATGAAACACCGCTAAGATAGGATCATGAGCTTGGGAGAGGCTGGGGAGTTGCTCCTGCAGCGCCTCTTGGCTCAATTCCTCCACTGGATTCCTCTCTGCTGGATTTCTAGGAACACGAAAACTTGCTTCCGAATGGTCAGAGAGCCGGATTCCTGATAGGAGACGGTGCAGGCGTCGGGAAAGGCCGAACCATTGCAGGGATCATCTACGAAAATTACCTGAAGGGGAGGAAGAAGGCTCTGTGGTGAGTGATCAGATCGTCCCCCCGTTCTGTGTCAAAGCTCTCATAGACTGCCGTGTTCCTTTCTGAGTGTTTAGGTGTTAGGGATACACCCTAGCAGAATCTGCACGGCAGGCAGGCAGGCAGGCAGGCAAAATATGTGAGATAGACGTTTTTGTACCTTACACTCAGTAAAACAGATACACCGTGCTAGTTAAATAGTTTATTCCAGTAAGAGTTATAGCATAGTCAAACATTCCATATATCATTCACTAATTCAGTCCATCCAGGGATTATTCAGTTGCAAATCCCAGTGTCGAAAAAGAGAGGTCAGTAAACTTACAAATATCAGTCCACTAATATATCTTCTCGCAGTAGAGATAGGAAGAAGTCAAACCTCCTCTCTTCCTTCAGCAACTCAGCAGTAGGGGAAACACGCAGTTAACAAACCATCAATTCATCAAACCAGCAATCGTCAGGGAATCGTCAGGAATCAGTAGGTTCTCTTGCTCCCTCTTATGGTGGTTTACAACCGCACCCAAAATTACATGCTTTGCAGTTTAAAGTGACACACACTTAAACTTACAATCATAGTTTATATATATTATTTTACCCAAACTACGTTAGGTAACCTTGTTATTCCTAACAATAGGGCAGTGGTGGCTAATCCCTTTTGGGGCTCCCGTGCCAATAATGGCACACATGCTTGCCTGCTCACGCTCACATGCCCTCACCCAGAAAGCAATGCGCACGCCCCCCCCATGCCTCCTGCGTGCTTCCCATGTGCTTCTGCACATGCGTGAGTGTGTCCACGCTACCGCGCCCCTGCACATGCGTGCCAAATACCCGACAATCAGCTCTGCGTGTCCCTTCCGGCATGTGTGCCATAGGTTTGCCTCCACAGGTATAGGGTCCTCAAGGCTAAGGCCCCAACTTAGTTCAGGAAAGAGAATTTGAGTAGCTGTTCTGTAGTGGGAATTTCTCTCTCTCTCTCTCTCTCTCTCTCTCTCTCTCTCTCTCTCTCTCTTATGTTCAGTTGTGTCCAATACTGGCCATTTTCTTGGCAAGGTTTTTCGGAAGCTTTTATTTTATTTTATTTTATTTGTTCGTCAAACATGTACAAGATAACATTATATGGACATAAACATGAACAAAGGGAGTGAATGCAGGTAAATGGGGGCAGTAAGACAGGGATGGTAGCAGAGGTGAGTATTCAGCAGGTTCTGACCAGTTCTGGAGAACCGGTAGCAGAAATTTTGAGTAGTTCAGAGAATTGGCCAATCCCACCTCTGACTGGCCCCACCAACCCCATCTATTCTCTGCCTCCCATTGAGTCCCAGCTGATCGGCTGGGTCTTCTTTTATTTGGTTTTCCTCTTTACGTTCTGTATGTGCTTAATGAACATCGTACTGTCTGGAAAGCAGGTTAGTGGGGTAGGGAGGGAATGGAGATTTTGGAGTAAACTTCCCCCAGGAGTTGGGAAGGAATGGGATTTTGCAAGATCCTTCCCCTGGAGTGGGGTGAGAATGGAGATTTTGCAGGATCCTTCCTCTGCCACGCCCACCAAGCCATGCCCATAGAACCAGTAGTAAAAAATTTTTTTGAATCCCGCCACTGGACGGTAGGCACGCTGGTGCACTTTTATGCACGCCCCCTTGAAGGATCTCTTTAAGAATGGGGTGAGGTCCACGGTAGACAGTTTGAGGTTGAAGCTGTCCAGGGTTGAGGCTGTAACCACGGAGTTGGGTTCCAGGCGTTGACCACTCTGTGGCTGAAGTCCTATTTTCTGCAATCGAGTTTGGAGCAGTTTACCTTGAGTTTGTATCGGTCGTTTGCCCCGTGTATGATTGTGATTGAAGCTGAAGAAGTCGTGGACAGGCAAGACGTTGTAGCAGACAATTTTGTGAACTATGCTTAGATCGGACCGCAGGCGGCGCAGTTCCAGATTGTCCAGGCCCAGTATTTCGAGCCTGGAGGCATAGGGAATTCTATTGTGAGTGGAGGAGTGGAGTACTCTTCTCGAGAAATATCTCTGAACCCACTCAGTTGGGTTAAGGTCCGATATAGAGTACAGGTTCCAAGCCAACGAGCTGTATTCGAGAATTGGTCTGGCAAAGGTTTTGTATGCCCTAGTTAGCAATTCAATGTTACTGGAGAAGAAGCTTTTCCAAATAAGGTTAATATTGTCTCCGTCCTAACGCTTCCAACCGGCTTTCATGCCTAAGGTGGGACTAGACCTGGTGATTGACCCAGAGTTAGCTAGCTGGCTTTTCTGCCTAAAACAGGACTAGAACTCAGTTTCCTTGTTTCTAGCCTTAACCACTACTAGATCAAATTCCCCCTGCCGCCTCCCCGCCCCCCAAAAAGGAAGTATGTTGCCATTGCTTCCTTAGTAGGCCTGATAGAGAATGATTGGCCTAAGTTCACCCGGCTGGCTTCATACCTAAGACGAGACTAGAACTCATGGTCTCCTCCTGAATTCTAGCCTGCTACCTTAAGCACTACTACATCAACCTGTATCGGGAAGGAAGGAAGGGGAGGAAGGAAGGGGAGGAAGGAAGGAAAAGGGAGGGAGGGAGGAAGAGAACAGAAAAGAAGAAAGAAAGAAAGAAAGAAAGAAAGAAAGAAAGAAAGAAAGAAAG